TCATCTATTATGCATCTGGTGGGCAGGCCCCTGGCGGGTACCTGGCAGAGCACAGGATGAGGGAGCTAGCAGCTGCTTCCTGAGCCCGCACCTGCCACCATACCTCTGGGCAGGGATCCCCCAAGGTGAATGCCAAGGCAGCTCCTGCCTCATCCCCTTGGCCCAGCTGGGGTGAGGGGGTCCTATTGGGGTGGTCCCACTAGATGCTGGTCCCCACCTCATTAGCCTGCCTGTTCCAGCAGCTACTTCTAAGAGAGTCTGGGACCTGGATTGAGCTGGGAGTCACTTGGGACTAGGGTGGGCAGAGGCAGCTGAAATAGAATCTTAGGTGCATGACCTCCTGCCCGCACAGCACCTCTGAGTGACAGAGTCATGGTCATTAATTCATCATTCACTCATTCATTCAACCACAAGTAATTACTGAGCACCTGCTGCATTCCAGGCACAGTTCTGGGGACTGCAGATTCAGTGGAAACTGAGGCAGGCCCAGGCCCAAGCTTCAGAGAGCTTAGTTGGGCCAGTACTTCACGTCTTAGGACCTCAATTTCTTCATCTACAAAATGGAGAGTAGGGAAGATGGTCTAGAAATAGGCAAGAAAGCAAACACACTAACAAGAGCCAATCCTTACCTAGAGCTTACTGGGTGCTGGGCTGTGTCCCAGAGCACTTCATATATTGGTGGACTTAATCCTCATAACCACCTCACGAGGCAGGTACCGTTATTACCTGTGGTTTAGGGCTGAGGAAACTGAGGCGTAGAGGGTTAAGTAACCTGTTTAAGGTCTCTTGGCAAAGCTGAGATTTGAACCTAAGCAACTAGGCTCCAGTTTGCACATTGCCCCAAGCTATAGGGATGGAGGGTGACAGAGGAAGTCACAGAAGGCCTTTTTTGAGGAGGTAGCATTGGAACCAAAACCTGAGGAAAGAGAGGAGCTGGCTGTGGGAAGAATTAGCAGGGGCAAGAGGGCAGTCCTGACAGAGGGGGCACAGCAGTTGCAAAGGCCCTGGGGCAGGAACAAGCTTAGTTTGTTCTGGGAACAGGGAGGAGGCCAGTGTGGCTGGAGGAATGTATTTGAGGGTGGGTTTGGAGAGAGGAGAGGGGCCAGATTGATCAGGGTCTTGCAGGCAGAGTAGAAGTTTGGTTATAATGTCAGTGACTGACATGCAGAATCACTGAATCTTAGACTCCTGGCTTCGTAAAATCTTACAATAAGAGAATTTGGGGTCTCCTAGAAGCTTTGGAGATGGGGGAGACCTTCGAGGTACCCTTTTGTGGCTTCTCACTTAGCAAGGAACCCCTCCTTTGGCTCATGGCCCCTTTGAGTATTGGAAGAAGCCTGTGGGGGTCTCCTGAGAAATATGCACCTTTATTTTCAGTGATTTCATGGACCTCTTGAAACTCATCACCCCTGGTTGAGACCATCATGACCTCTTAGCAGCTCCTTGACTAGCCCTTTCTTGCTTAAAAGTAGCCCATTCCATTGCTGGGCAGGCAGCTCAGATGGATATCAACAAGGTTCTTCCTTCCTTGGAACCAGCTGCCTGAGCCTAGGCGCACCCCCTGGGTCTCCCATCCCCACAGTGGCTCCTCAGTGAGGTAAGGATGGGGATTACGTAGTATCTCCCCACTTCCGCACTTTCTGGTCTAAACAGTCCCTGCTCCCAGCCCGCCCTCCTTTCCAACCTCTATTCAACTCGGCTCTTGCAGGCCTAAAGCCCCTTTATTTGTCCTCTGTCTTCCTACGGGGCCAGGAGATACCCTTTTGGGGGAGGCCCCATCCTTGGTTGGGGGACTCCCGGGAGAGACCCAAGACCAGAGAGACCCCCTCTTCCAGGAAAACGCCCCTCTAGCTAAGGAGGCAAGAGAGGATCCCCTCCAGATGGGTTTCGTTCCTGGGACTGCCACTGTTTTCCTGTGTGACCTTGGGAAGGGAGTCCCCACCTCTGAGCAGTTTCCCCAGGCCCACCCTTGGCACAGTGAAGAGGCGGAGATGGTCCTTCAGGTCTCTTGCAGCTCGAAGGCTCCCAGCCTGGTGGCCCTGCTTGCCTCTGCATCCCGGCGATGCTCAGGCTCGGGTCCCTTTGATCGGGTGGTACATAGAAAGGTCTGGGTTCTGTTTCCAGGTAGGCCTGGGTTCAAATATCATCTGCAATTTTTTGGACTTTCTGTCAGTCCAGTGCCATGTACAGTGTAGGCCACCTTCTTGGGGTCTTGGTCTCTTCACCTGTAGAATGAGGACAGTAAAAGCACCAGTATCGTAGATTGTCGTGGGGATGAAATGAGGTCATTTGTGCCAAGGTCTAAAACCAGGGTCTGGCACAGAGCGATGCCAGCGAACACAGTTATTGCCGTATTGTATTACGAGCTGGGCCCTGTACAGGGGGTGGAACTACTCAGAGTGTGGACTCTGCCCTCTGGAAGCTCACCACCTGCTGGAGGTGAGACCTGCTTACATGTGAGCCTGCTTTCTGGCCTTGGGCACTGACCTTGACACTGGCCCAGAGAACCGGCTCTGCAGCCAGGCAGGCTTGCGCTGAGTCCTGCCTGGGTGACCTTGGGCGGTACGTCCCTGGCTGGGTGGTGGTGGTTTCTGCCTTTGCACAGCGGGGGGTATTAGTAGTCCCCACCCCAGGGAGAGGGAGAGGAGCCAGGAGGTACTTTTAAAGGGCTGGCCTAGCATAACAGTGTGGCTGTTTCAGACCACATGCTGCAGGAGGGAAGAAACATTTTGGGCCCAGGTGATCTGGAGAAACATTGTTTTCTGAGGCTCATTTTCCTGCCTATAAAAATGGGAAGATTGGCTACAAAACAATGTCAGGGTGGGAAGGAGCTGGCTGTGGGGAGGGTGGTCCAGGCAGAGGGCAGAGTTAAGTGTAAAGGCCTTGAGGCAGGAATAAGATTATTTTCTCCCACCCCAGTTCTGGGACATTCCACATCATCTCTTGGCAGCTGGTGGAAGGTGGCTGAGCAGGCAGGGAGGTCAGAGGCCCACCTTCTCTTGGATCCCATGAGGCAGGTCTGGGGTGGGCACTGTGGTCAGACATGCAAGACCAGGCGTGGGCTGGGCCTCGGGTGAGATGGGATGTGCAGGTAGAAGGCAGGGCTTCTGAGCTGGTGGGGGTGGAGCCCACTTCAGGGCATAGGCAGGGAGCCAGCCTGGCACCCACCTGGCTGACCCCACTTCCCAGAAGCATTCTGAGGTCTGGTACAGAGACCCTGGGCCTGACTGTTTTTGGAGGAGCTTAGCGAAAAGGGGTGAGGGGTGAGGGAGCTTCTGCCTTTCTCTCACCCCAGCCAGCCTGGGCATCGGCCACAGAGTGTAGCAGCCTTTCCCAGACCTGGCCCTCAGGGCCAGAGGTACTTGAGATGACCCCCTACACATGCGCGTGCTCTCTCTTTCTCTCTGTCACACACACACACACACACACACACACACACACACACACACACTTTCCCTACTCACACTCATGGACCTGACTCTTGACCAGACAGCTTCCTCACGAACATAGGGTTATGTACACACACAGCAGACCAGACCATGACTGGGCATCGCTGTGTGCCAGGCCCCCTAACAGACCCGGTCCTTATCCGAGGAAGCTCCATTTCCGGTGGGAGAGCCTTCTAGTGATCTAATAATCACGCTAGGACATGGGCAAACCAAACTGATAAATGTGTGATGGCCTGACACAGGCTTTGGGAAAGCTGGTTGGGGTGGGGGCAGCCTGACCCAATCTGGGGAGGGGGCTCCAGGAAGGCTGGCTAGGAGTGTAGCACGCGAGGTGTGATGGGGAGGCCAGGGCAGAGTGTGACAGGTAAAGGGTGCACAGAGGCCTGGAGGTGGGACAGACACGCAGGGCCCCGTGGGCCACGTGAGGCAGTTGTCTCCATCCTTAGTGCAGTGGGAAGCCACTAGTGGCTCTTAGGCGGGTAGATGACGTGGTAGATAATACATGCTCACGTACAAACCCACGCATGCCCCAGACACGAGCACTTTCTCTGCCACCCACGTTTTACGTTCCTGCTAGACCTGCCATCCACATCCTCACGCACAGTCACGCACCCGCTCTCACCACTAGGCAGAGCTGCAGAAATCCCCGAGCTGGCTGCCAGCGGCAGCGGCAGGCATTTGCCCCACCTGCTTGCCGGCTCCGTGGGGCAGGGCCCTCGGTTCCATCCAGGTGTGACCTTTGTCCACTCCACATTTGCACAGGCATGCACGTGCCCCATGCGCACACATGCAGATGGGAACATCCCCCCACCCCCTGCACGTGGAAGGTGGCTTCTAGCTCAGGGAGCACTTTCCGGTGCATTATCTCATCAAATTCTCCCAACAACCCTGCAGAGAAGATCATCAACACCCTTTACAGCTGAGGAAACTGAGCCCAGAGAGGTGACACGGCTTGCCTCAGGCCATAGCTAGAGGAGGGATTTGAACTTAGATCCATCTGATTTCTAGATCTGTTCACTGGCCCATCGGACTCAGGGCTCTTCATCTTTCCAGGCTCTCACTGAGAAGGTGGCAGGTGACCTTTGATGCCCAATTGTTCCAGAAACAGGTTGATCAACATGGAAAGTTATTTAGAGTCCCAGCTCGTGCCCATCTGCCTAGTGACCCTGTGGCCTTGGGGGGAGCGCCAGGAGTGGGGCTGGGCACCTGCCAGCCTGCCAGCCTGGGGCAGCTCAGGGCATGGAGCTGAAGCTAGGAGCAGAGCCCACATTTGCATTTGTAAATGAGGCAGACAGCCCTGGCCCAGCATATGCTAACCTTAGCTGGCCTGGCTCCCAGGATGTGACAGCTGAGGTCCCAGGGCACAGCCCTGTGCCCAGTGCCCAGGCTGCTTCTCTTCCCTGACCCTCCGAGCAGGTTGCCTAATGCCTAATGGAGAGCTTTCGAGTCAGCCAGACGGGCTGCAGCCCAGCTCTGTCGCTGCTGGCTGGGGGACTGTGGCCATGGTGTTTGACCTCCCTTGGTGTCAGCGTCTCCTCTTTGGAACAAGGAGTCAAGCGTATCTCCTTCTCGAGATGACCGAAAAAGGTAAAGGAGTCAGGTACTCAGATAGCTGACTGTATAGTAAATGTTCACTTTGAAGAAATCTTTTGTTTTTTTCTGATTACAAAAATAATAAGTGCTCACTGTAAAAATTCAAACAACACAGACAAATATATCCCATAGAAGGTAGAGGCTCCTCGTGGTCCTGCTTCCCAGGGGTAAGCCATGTGAACTTTTACATGTAAAGTTAAATTTTTGCAAGTAAGGTTTTTGTTGTGCAGCTTGCTTTTTTCACTTGAGCATTATGCCTCCGAACCCTTTTTCCGCCCAGACGAGAGACCTTCTTTGCCATCACTGCATGGTATTTTGTGGTTTGCACGGGCCTCCATCTATTTAGCCAGCCGCCTTTGAATGAACGTTGGGGTGGCTTCCAGGTTTTAGCTGTTGCATGCCCCGCTGCAATGACTATTGCGTGCACGTGTGTAAGTAATGCTGGGGGGGGTGAGTAAATGCCTAGGAGTGGAGTTACTGGGCCAATGCACTTTTTCACCTTTAACAGTACAGCCAAACAACCCTGCAGAGAAGCAGTAGCGATCTATGTGCCCCAGCCAACTGAGAAAGTTCATTTCCTCAAAACAATGGGAATTACCCACTGCCTCGGTCCTCAACCTCAGGGACCTAGGGTCATTGAGAGGTAAAGATCCCAGATGTGGGAGGCTCCTGGGAGGTCATCTAGTCATGCCCGTGCTCTCTTTACTCCTCCTGTTCCTACACCTCGGTATCTCCCCACTGCGTCCCCGAGAGGCTCAGCCTGTCTTGCAGATCAGGGAGCTCAGTACCTTGCATGGCGGGTGGTTTTACTCTCTAGCACACTGATTCTTGTGTTGTACTCTCGTCTGCCTCTCACCACCGTCACTGGGAATGCCGCCTCACTCCTTAGTAGCCTGCGGAGAAGGAAAGAAGAAAGGAAGGAAGAGACAAGGGAAGGCCAGGAAATGCTCATGGTTAATGTTCACATACTTTACACGTATTAACTCATTTAGTCCTCATGACAACCCTTGGAGGCAGGCACTGCTATCCCATTTTATAGATGGAGAAACTGAGGCTCAGAGAGGTTAGGTAACTTGCCCAAGGTCACACAGTTGTTAGATGGCAGGGCTAGGATACAAGCTTAGGCAGCCTGGCTCCAGAGCCCACACCTCTGATGTTATACCTCTCCAGGCAGGAGCCTATAATTTATTGAGCACCTACTGTACACAGTCATGTGACACTTAACAATAGGGATACGTTCTGAGAAATGCATCATTTAGGTGATTTCGTTATTCTGCAAACATAGAGTGCACTTTCATAAAACCTCAGTGGTATAGCCTCCTACACACCCAGGCTATATGGTCTAGCCTGTTCTTCCTAACTAGGCGACACACCTGTACAGCATGTTACTGTACTGAATACTGTAGGCAATTGTAACACAATGGTAAATATCTAAATATATCTGAACATAGAAAAGGCACAGGAAAAATACAGTGTAAAAGATAAACAGTGACACCGGTGCAGGGCACTTACCATGAATGGAGACCGCAGGACCAGAAGTTGCTCTGGGTGAGTCAGTGAGTGAGCGGGGAGTGAGTGTGGAGACCTAGGACATTACTAGACACTGCTGCAGGCTTATAAACACTGTACACTTAGACTACGCTGAACTTATAAAACAACAGATTAAATCAAGCACTAGAGAAAATGATGCAGTCAAGAGACATGGTAAACACGAGGCGTGTGAGGCTGTTGCTGGCACAACACGGCTACTGTTTTACAGCAAACTTTCTTTTATGTAAGTAGAAAGAGCACACTCTAAAATAAGATAAAAAGTGTGGTAGAGTAAATACATAAACCAATAACAGTCGTTTATCATCATCAAGTGCTATGTACTGTACGTAATTGTATGTGCCGGCCTTTCCTGTGACTGGCAGGGCAGTAGGCTTGTTTACACCGACATCACCACAAATATGTGAGTAATGTGTTGTGCAACAGTGTTAAGACGGCCACAGCGTCACTAGGTGATAGGAGTTTTTCTGCTCCATTATGTTGTGGGGCCACCATCATTCAGTCCATCACTGACTGAAACGTCATTACACGGCACATGACTGTACTCTGCTCCAGGCTAGCCGGTTGTACGTATACTATCTAATTTATTCTATACAACAACCCAGCCAAGTAGGTGTTACTATCCCATTTTGCAGATGAGGAAGCTGAGGTTCAGAGAAGAGAAGCAGCTCGGAGGAGTCTGAGGCGCCCCCTGCACAGTCCCGGCTGGGCAGAGTCGGCCCTGCAGGGTTCCGATTTCAGCCAGTCTTTGGGAATCTTGAACACACAGCGATGTAGAGACAGGGCCAGGGCTTTTCCTTGTCTCCGTTGGTTAGGAAATGGTGACCTTGTCCCTCTCCAAGGGAGTTTCACCTTGGCCTGGCAGGAACTTATGCTTACCAGCCTGTCCTAGGGCCCATGAGGTGGCAAACCCACTGGCCAGGGAGCGAGAGGGATGGATTAAACAAGGTCTCAGCGTTGGAGGGTTCAGTGTGTGAACAGTGGGGCCCAAGGAGTGCCAGGGCCAGTGTCACTGGGGCTTTGCTTTGAGGTGGGGAGGCCTGGCTCGGATGCAAACACCCAGCCCCATTGTCCAGCCCGGGGCAGGCGTCAGGACGTGTCCTGAATGCGTGACTGAGCGTAGGAATGAAGGGCAGTGAGGGAGTGGGCGGATGATGGAGCCAGCGAGTGAAGGAATGCGGGGAGCTCAGGGGGGCAAGGACAGTAGGTTCACGAGGGAGGTGGGGGGGTGGCTGTACAGCTGCGCATGCACACGCAGGCTCCACAGCGGGCCCCACGGTGGGCAGCAGGTCCCGGGCCCATCACTGGGAGTTGTCCTGCGTGGATGGGGCACAGGGTGTAGCAGCTGGGTTTGAGCTTGGGGCGTGGTACCTTGGGCAAAGCACCGGCGTCGGTTTTCTTCCGTGTGGAATGGAGATAACGTTACCTGACTTAGGTTCCTTGTGAGGCTGTTGAGAGGTTCTAGAGTGAAGGCAGTTTGTAACCTCTAAAGTGCCAGGCTGGGTAAACATGTTATTATTTCCTGAGCAGAGGCCCCATGGCTAGGTCATTTCAGTGTCACTCCTCCCCCCGTCCCCTGTGCAGGGAGGAGTACGTCCCCTGGGAGGTAGGGAGGGTCAGGCTTGTGCCACAGCAGGGCCCAGGCCACCTGGGCAGGGAACAGGTGGATGGGAGGCCCGGTCCCCAGGTGCTGTATCTCCCAGTGGGGGCCAGTCCCATGACCTCCTCTCAGAGCTGCCAACCTGTTGTTTGCTCAGGAGGCCACTGCCTGGCCCAGCTCCGGGATCCGGGTGTCTCGGCGCACAGCCAGCTCAGGGTGAGGGTGGGGGCCTCGCCTGCCACCTTCCAGCTCACCCCTCTGCTTAGCTTGGAGCCTGAGGCCCTCTCTTCCACCCCCAGGGCGACCTGCCAGCTCTACCCCTCGATGGCTGTGAGACTGTGGGCCCATCTTGCAACCTCACTGAGCCTCCACCTCTTTATCTCTGAAGTGGGGTGAAGATAACAGCAGCCCTCAGTCTGGGTGGTTGTTGTAAGGATTACGTGATATCACAGTGCTTGGCTCCCCCGGCCCCCACACTCCCCCTTCAGGCTTGGCAGAGGTCAAAGGTGCCTGGAAAAGACAGCCAGGGGCAGCCATGCCTGTAGCCCACCCCCCACCACTCCCCGTGGGCTTGGGAGGAGCAGGCCAGGCTCCTTGGGCCTAGCTTCAAAAATTCACTCACTGGGCTGCCCCTGGCCACCTTCCCTGGCACCTTGGCAGGGCCAGGGGCAAGCAGGGGGCAGAGCCAGATGGTTAAGCTCTGGAGACAATGGGCCTCTGTGGCCCCCAGGGAAGGGGGCAGTTCCAGGGCGGCCTCTAGTCTCTGGTTTCAGGAGATTAGAGTTCTCTCAGACCAGATACCATGACTGGGAGACGCAGGGAGCTCCCAAGCCCTGTCCAAAGGGGCCTCGCTCAGGGAGCTTAGGGTCTACAGGAGTAGCCCTCTGCACCCTCTTCTCACTTTGAGGTCTCTGCCCTTCCCCCTCCCCCTACATGAATCACCAGGTTGGTAGAACCAGCTGGTCTCATGGTCCTGTCCTGGGCTGGTCTCCCCAAATCCTTCTCAGCCCTACGTTCACTGGCTGGCTGAGCCCCTTCTCTGCCCCGGACCACCCAAGTCTGGTTTCCCAACTTGCAGGTGCCATCCAGCACCTGTCCAGCTCCCCTGCTCACCATCGCAGGCTTCCAGGTCTATGCACCTGGTCTGGCCACCAGTTCCACCTGTCTAAATTGAATTTTCAAGCATGAATAGGTCACCAGGCAGCAAAGAAGGAAAAGGGAGCCCCGGCAGAGGGAACAGCCTGTGCAGAGGCTTAGCAGGGTGAAACAGTGTGCCTTGTTTGGAAAACTGCCTGCAGCCCAGCCAGGCTAGGACAAGGTGACGGGTAGGACAGAAAGGGGCTGCATGTGTGTGGAGATGAGGCTGGAAGAGTAAGCAGCAGCCAGACCCACCTGGGGACCTCCATGCAAAGCAGGGATTTCTGGATGGGCAAAGGGCCAAGTCCGAGGACAGTCCAGTTCCATTCCCCCTCTGGTGCCCTGAGAGGGTGGGGTTCTGCAGGAGAGTGCCTCATAATAATAATAACAACAACAGCAAACACTTCTACAGTGTTCATTCTACTCCGTGGCTCACAGCAACCTTGTGGGGGTGGGTACGTTGGCTCTCATGTTGCAGATGAGAGAAAAAGACAGGACCTTCCCACCAACTGTCCGGCTGGTTAACAGGTGGGAAGCCACCCAGGGAGGCATCTGGTCACCTGTCCTCGGTCTCCCCTACCTCTCCTACTGTGTCTGGGTCTGACCTGCATTTTGCAGAGTAGGGGACTTCCCTGAGATGCCCCCCACCCCAGTGTGGCATGTGGAGCCCTGGACTGATGGAAGGCCTCGTTCTAGTCCGCAGTCTGCCCCTGCCTTGCTGGGTGACCTCGAGGTGCTGGTTTAATCTCCCTGAGCCTCAGTTTACCCTTCTGGGAATTGGGGACTCTAGCAACTGCTTTATCTCTGCATCCAGTTCCGGTGAGTCTCCCAGGGTTGAGCAGCTAAAGAGGGCTTTTGAAAAGTACAAAGAGCTGTTCTCATGATGGTGAGAATATTATTGTTACCTTGATATGGAGATAAGGGAGGGGGAGGAGTTGCAGTGACAGTTGCCAAGAAACCCGGGAGCTGTCAGCAGCGGCTTCCAGCCTGGCCCTTCCCACTCAGGAGCTGAGCCACTGGGCCCTCCCTCCACACTCTTGCTGCACTTTTTCCCTGGAAGAGATGGGTGCTCCGAGAGGGAGGGGAGCTGGGGCCAGCTGGCCGGTGGCCATATATCTGTAGGGCCTGAAGGTGACCCAGGAATGTGTCTGGCCCGAACTCCAGGTTGGCTCCAGCTTTCTCTGTGACCTTGAGCAAGTCACCCCTCTCTGGCTACCACCTCTTTCTGTGCCCAAGTGTCCTGTACCTGTAGGCAGGTGTCCAGGCCAAACATGGCAGGATTAATGCTTGACCTGGGGAAGATGCTTGGCAGTGGCTGCAGAAGCCAGGACCTGTGGTGGGGAGGTCACCAGGGGTCAAGGCTGGATGGCAAGACTGAGAGCCTGGGTTGAGAGCAGCTGTGATGTGTATAGTAAAAGAACCCTGGCTGGAGTCAAACCTTGGCACTGCCCTTTCCTTGGTATGACCTTGGGCTTGTTCCTTAACCTCTCTGAGCCTCAGTTTTCTTATTTAGAAAAAAGCCGCTGTGGTGATCAAATGAGACAATGCCTGTGCAAACTGTAGAGTGCTGTGCAGATCTATACCTATGGTCATGGCATGGGGAAGGCATGCTCCAGGCACCCTCCAGCTGCTACAGGTGCAGGCGCGATGCAAAGCATGTTAAGCTGGGCCAGGCCATAGCACCAGGAAGGTTGTCAGAGAAGTGGGGAGGGGCAGAGGCTTGAGGGACCTGGAGCGAAAGGAATGGTGGAGAACAGGAGGAGTCAAGGGTGGGATAGGAGAGGGGGGCAGAGACAGAGAGGTTCAGGTTCGTGAAGAGGGAGGAAACTGATCAAGTTGGGGGAGGTGTGCGGAGGCCAGAGGCAGAAGGGAAGGGCGGGATGGCTAGAAAGGTGGGAAAGAGATGTGAGAGGCGAGGAAAGCTGATACAAGGAGGCATCAGAGGCTAGAGGTGGGGGGAGGGAGGGGAGAGGCTAAGTTTATTCATTCCTTCAAAAGTGTTCATTGAGAAATTGCTATTGACTCAGAGCCAGTACGGTGCAGCGTTAGGGCACAGCATCTAGACCTAGATGGTCAGGGGTTCAAATCCTCCGTACTTCACTTACATTTACTGTCAGTGTGGCCTTGGACAAGTTGCTTAACCTCTCAGTGTCTTAGATGAGTTAATATGAGAGCAAAGGAGTTGAAGCGGAGCCTGCACGTGGCACGTTCTGTACCAGCGTCGGCTGCTGCTGTTACTATGGTTATTACCTCTCCAGTGTGACGCGCTGGGTCCACGGCGCCAGCTGCCCATACTATGAAGTTCGGATCTTGGGCTCTGGACTGACATCTGGGTTCAACTGGCTGCTGTGCCACATGAACTGTGTGACCTTGGGCAAGTTTCATACCCTTACGAGCCTCATTTTCCGTATGTGTAAAGCCAGCCATTTCTGAGTACCTGTCTCCTGGAGGAGCTACGAGAATTAAATAAAGTCAGGCAAGTCACAGGCCAGCTGTGGCTTTTGCTGTTTCTGCCCTTCTGTCCCTCAGCTGGGAGGATGGGGTGGACAGGGCCCTGAGCCCCTGATGTCCTGCTCTGTCCTCATCATGGATTCCTTTCCCTCCCCTGCCCTTTATAACTAAGCATGACCTTTGAGGTGGAATTACCTGTGGGAGGGGGAAGGGCGGAAGGCTGGGTATTTCTGGTGAGGAGCAGGACTCCGGCCAGCCAAGAGCTGGAGAGCAGAGGACCTCGAGGCTGGGTCCTGGATGGAAGCCAGAGCCCCCTTGTCTTCGAAGACCTCCCTAGTCCTGCACCCACACGAACAGTCTTGACTGAGATGGGCACCTGGGCATGGGGAAGCTGAAGTTGAGAGGGTTCTGGAAGGAGAACGTGGTAGAGAGCTGCTGCCAGGCTGACCCACAGTGACCACTGTTTGAGCCTGGGGGCAGGACAGGGGGACAGGCAGGAGGACACCACCCAAATAGCTCCATCATGGGCAACAACCTCCACGAGGCAGCCAGGGCCACGCCAAGACAGTGGTCCCTACCACCAAGGGCCCAGCCTCACCTGGGCTTCAACCCAGGACCTCCTGGCTCCTGGGAAGCTTCTGCTCACCAGTCCACTGGCACTGGCCCTGCTCAGTCACCTACTTGCTAGGGGAAGTAGCTTCATCTCTCTGAGCCTCATTTTCTCCCACCTGTAAAAATGGGGATAAATATTGCCAACGTTCTAGCACTGCAGTGAGGGTGTAATATGCTTGACACAGTTACAGCACACAGTAGGTCTCAACAAAGAGTCCCTGGGCAGCCACAGTGGGATTTGCCTGGACCATCTCTGTAGGCCTCTCTCTAGTCCCTCGTCTTCAGTTTCTCCCCACGTCAGCATGCCTTGCAGTCTACAGGAACCTGTGTTTAGGCTGTTTCCTTGCTCACAAACCTTCACTACCTCCCTGCTGCCAACCCTCATTGAGCCATTTGACTATTCAACAAATACTTAATGGGATCCTAGCTTGGGGAGCCAGAGTTTACCACAAATGAATGAATATCAAAGAATTTATTGAGTGAATAGCTGGTAGCTGCCCAGGCTCTATGATGAATTTTTTTGGAAACCGAGGCTGAGAGGAATGTGTCATTTATGGTCACACAGCAAGTAGGTGCCTGGGAATACCTCCCACACTGATGACACAGGCTGGAAATGCCACCACATGCATCCTGTGGGCCAAGACCTTCCTTTTCAGATGCACTCCTGGGAGGAGGAGAGACATCTGCAGCAGGGCTGTGGATGGCTTCTCTGGGCCACTTCTGCTGGAGTAGCTGGACTGAGGGGAGTCAGCAGAGGGGCTCAGAGTCCCTCAAGGTCTCCTTCCTGGGCAGGTTCCTGTAGGCTCATCCCTCCTGGGGTGTGGCAGTCCCAGCTTCACCTGACTCAAGCAGCTGTGTGCTGCTGAGGATAGACTGGCGGCCTGAATGACGCATCCTCTTGGTTGATGGGACCTGGGCGGGGATACAGCCACGTCATGGTGGCCTGAGGCAGCCAGCAGAAGCCAGGCCTGCTCCCCCAGCCCCGGACTCCCTGGGTCCCAGGAACCACTGGGCACTTCCTCTCCCTGACCCTGGAGGTGGCCTCCTCAGCAGGCTCCCTAGGGTGACGGAGCTGACTTCACCCTCACCAGACCAGTTTCCTTTCCTCCGGGAGGGGCGTGGTATGGGCACAGAGTCCGGGCTTGCATTCGGCTAGCCTCCGATGCTGGCTCTGCTGCTGACTGGCTGTGTGACCTCCACATGCCTCTGTCTGGGTCCTTATCTGTCAAACGGGAATACCAGTGTAGTGAACAGTCTGTGCCCTCGGGCCGGAGAGCGGGGCTTGGCACAGGGCCTAACATACAGTAGGCCCAATGAGTGTCAGGTATTGTCATTGTCAATGACAGCAGTAGCCCAGCCTCTCAGCCCTAAGGCCGCTGTCTCCCTGAGGCTCAGGGAGGGGCCATAGAGGCTGGGGCACCCTGCTTAATCCAGACATCAGGGCTCAGCCATGGACAGCAACCCTTACTGCCTCCTGCCTCAGTCTAATCGTCTTCAGACCTGGCTGGCGTGTGTGTGAGGGAGGCCCAATGGAGAGCTGGGGGAGAGACCCTGATCGCATCTCTGACCCCTGGGGAGGGAGAGCCTGATGAGCAGCCCTGCTCAGGAAGCTCCTCCTCTCCCTCCTCCTGCGGACCCCAGCACCCACTCCTCCAGGAAATCTGTCCCCCTTCCATCCCCCAACTCTGAGGTTGCCTCTTCCTCCCAAAGTTCACAAGTGTCCCGACTGGAGGCTCTCCCTGACCTCAGACCCTTCTTCTCTTCCAGGGGGAGTGATGGGCAGAACCAGCGCTTCCCTCAGGCACTAGACTTGCCACGAGTGGACCTAGTCTCCCCACCTACTGCTTCACTCTACCCAAAGGTAAGTGCCCCCCCCCACTGCCCCTGGTCTGGAGACCCCCAGGGCTGAGAGATGCCTAAGAATGACCACTGGGCAGAGGTAAAATGTTCAGGCTACCCCTCCCCACTCCTGGGTGGGCCCGATGCAGTCCCAGAGGTTGAATGGGGGTCTGAAGCACTGCTGGGGGAGGAAGAACAGTTGGGAATGAACCAGCCCCAACCATTCTTTTTTAAAAAATTGACTTTAGAGAGAGGAAGGGAGAGAGAATGAGAAACATCAGTATAAGAGAAACTTCTATCGGTTGTCTCCCGCACATGCCTGGACCAGGGATCGAACCTGCAACCTGGGTATGTGCCCTGACCAGGAATCGAACCCACCACCCTTCGGTGTATGGGACAATGCTCCAACCAACTGAGCCACACCGGCCAGGGCTCAACTATTCTTCACAGTCTTCATCAACATCAGTTTCCTCACCTGTAAATTGGGTATGACAGTACTCACTTTACAGGGCTATTGTGAGGATTAAATGAAAAAGTGCTGATGAAGCATTCCATACACAATACCTGGCAGAGAGTAAAAGCCCTATAAATGAGGCTATTGTTGTTATCACCAAAAATCAAATGTTCACCCAGTATCTGATTTGTGTCAGACTTTGTGCTGGGTGCTAAGCAGGCAGAAAGCAACTAGACGCAGACCCTGCCCTCAAGGAGCTATAGTCCAGTTTAGAGAGAAAGAATTAAATTTATGCAGAGTGTCAAATACCAGTAATAACAGCTAGCAGTGATTGAGATTTCTTGTGGGCCACGTGGGTACTTAATGCTTTACATACAGTATTTCATTTCACCCTCAAACTGTAAGTACTAGTGCTAACTACTATTATTAGTCCCATTTTGCAGATGAGAAAGTCAAGGCTCAGAGAGGTTCAGTTACTTGTTCAAAGACACACAGGTAGGATGCTATGGGGTCAGGACTGGAACTCAGGTTGTCTGACCAGAGTGGCTGGCCTTGTGGCCTCTCTAATGCAAAGGATCATAAGCCCTCACTTTTGAGTACACTTTACAGTTTCTAAAGCATGTTCACAGACATCATGTCTCTTGGTCCTTTCATCAAACCTCGAGTGGTAGGTATTCTCCAGATGAGGATCCAGATGCTCAGAGAAGTGAAGGGGTTTTCCCAAGGTCACACAGCCAGGAAATAGCAGAACAGGATCTGCCAAGCTCTTCTCCCAGCACTCTGGCTGGAACAAGGGCCATGTTCCTCTCCTAGGCTGGGAGAACAGATGGCCAAGGAATGGTGTCCGTGTGGGGGACCACCACCACCAAGGGGGTCCTAGTGGGGGTCCTATGGACAGTATCACAGGGATCCTCTCCTGCTCTTTGTGCCTGGGCAATAGCCCAAGATGGGCCATTGTTGATCCCGGAGCTTGGCAGGAAGGGATTGACTCAGTGGCAGCTGGGTTCATGAGTGAGCATCTGGGAGGAGGCCTGGGTTCTCACCAAGGGCCATGTGCCCTTGGACCATAGCTTTTCCTCTCTGGGCCTCACTCTTCCCATTAGGAAAATTAGGGTTGGAATAGTCCATTGCCCTAAGTCCTGCCTGCTCAGACAGCCTGAGGCTGGCCTTCTTGGATTAGTTCTGAGGTGCCTTCCCTTGGGTTTCCTGGCCTCCACCCAGTCTATCTAGAAACCTCTGTTTGTGCCAACACAGCCCAGACTGCAGACTCCTGACAGTGCACCCTACCCTAGAATCAAGACACAGTCTGTGGATCATTCTCTTTTGACAGAGGAGGAAACCAGTGTCCAGAGAGATTGAGCCATTTGTCTGGGTCCCCAGCAAACCAATGGTGGAGCTGAGGGAACCAGGCCTGTGACACATTGTCCACCCTCTCCCCCAGCACCCCTAACGCTACACACATTTATAATGTTGATGGAGCCAGATTGAGGGGCAGGAGATCTCCCTGTGCCAGTGGGCAAATCCTGCCCCTCTCTGGCCCTCACTTTCCTCATCTGTAAAATAGAAGTGACAGTTCCTTTTTTACCCACCTTGCCAGCTTACAACTGAGTGATGACCTTGAAAGTAACTTTGGAAAGTAGAAATCAGGTAGCTGAACTGTTATCAGCATTATATGTTCCCAGGGTAGGACAGAACACCCAGAAGGGACTCTCTTCATTGGGGAGCCACGCTTGAGATACTCAGGACCCTCCTACCCTGTCCCCTTATGGGGGTTTCTTCACTTGGGGATTCAGAAATCTGCACAGATGTACATACACAGCCTACCCACACTTATGTACATGGATATAATCACATGTCCTCATATGTATTCGGAAACTTGCACATGTACATATGCAAGCATGTACAGATACATATGTATAAACACACATAATCAGGATGTCCAGGCACACACAGTCACATGTGGTCTCAGTCTCACACACACATACAGCTGCATGCACACATGTGCACCCCCTCCACTCCGCCTGGCACACAGGCATCTCCGGTGATATGAGCAGGTCTTGTCTCCTCCCAGTGTGGGAATGGATATTTCTCTGGCTGCTTTTTGCTGGGTGCCCGGAAGCGCTCAGGCCTGGAAGTGCTGCATAAATCAATATTTGCTGCTGTTAATTATTAAAAACAAAGCTACACCGTGTCTGGAACACACATATCTGGAGTTCCCACCGGCACCCCTGGGCTCCAGCCTGACCCAGGGCCAGGTCTGGGGGAAAGGAAGGCATAGTGCCTTCCTTCCAGGAGCCCTTGGCCCTGGAGGTAGAGGGTGGTGGGCAGCTGCCAGCAGCTCCTTCAGGATGAAGAAAGGTTGGGCACGGAGCTGGTGGGCAGCCTTGCCCCTGCAGGGTCCAAAGCAGCTGGTGTTGACTTAGCCACAGCTCAGGAAGCAATTGCCGCTTTCCCAGCGTCTGTCTGGGAAGGGGGAGCTGAGGCCCCAGCCCTGCCCCCAATGTCAGACACAATGCAGGGTCAGCTGAAAGGGCCAGCAGAGGCCTTATATTTTACAGATGGGGAAACTGAGGGCTACAGAGATGTCAGGGGCTCACTCAAGTTCACTCAGCAAGTTGTAGCAAGACCAGAGCTAGAATATGTCCTGAAGTCTGCTCCATACAGTGGGGCCTTGGCAGCCCCTCCCCAGGCACTGTGGTTGTCTCCCCCAGGGTCAGGGGCAATTAGGACAAAGGTGGAGGTAGTTAGAGCTAGGTATGGCATGGGACCTGGGGAAGGGAGAGAAGAGGAGAGGAGGAGGGGAGAGCAGCTCCAGGCCTTTCCCTGGATTCCTAGTTCTGCCTTTCCTAGCTGTGTGATCTTGAGCGTATTTCACCTCTTGGAATCAGTTTTCTCTTCTGTAAAATGGGGATCACACTCATATCTCCTGGGTTGTGGGGAGAGGATGAGATTTGCTAAGGGTCCAAAATTAAGTAAGAAAAGCCCTCTGTCTCCAAGGTAACCCCCTTTATCCTGCCCGGCTTCACAGCCGGCCCCAAGACCCCGACCCAGAGGCCCTGAGGCGGGGTACCCAAAGTTTGAGAAGATGGGGAAAACCTGGGGGTGCCAGAAAGCCCCGTGCACTGAAATCTTCTGGCGCTCCAGCAAGCGCGCGCAGGCGCAGTGTCCCGGGCCGCGGGTCGGCCGCTCCAGGGGGCGGGGTCTCCTGTGTCCCCGCCCCGGATCTCCGCAGCCCCTCCCCC